GCCTCCAGGCTGGGGTCCAGGCGGCGCTGCTGGGTGAGTCAAGTGCTGGCGGCGAATGGGTGAGCTTTGTCATAAGGCAGCTGGTTCTGGGGCTGTACTGGGGAGGAAGGATGGCGTGGTTAGCCGTCAGAACTGTACGGAAAGTTTGTCATTATGAAGCTGGTGGAGCATCCTGGCTTCGGTCCGGGTAGCGGCATCACGCACGGATTGTCTTGTGCAGTGGGCTTGAAAAGCTGTGTGCAGAATCGGAATGGGAATGTAAGGGTTAACCAGATTGATTTTGTGCTGCCGTGCCTGAGTGTGGTCACTCCGCGCTTCAGTCGCCCCATCCTGACAGCCTTTGGTTAGGAACTGCCAAATAAACATAACTTGTTATAAAGACCCTTTAATCCCTTAATTATGCTGCTTTTATTCGTGTTTGTTGCCTGCTGTACAGTTGGCTGCTGGAGTTTCTTGCTCTCAAAGCAAGAAAACATCCCACGCGTCCAAAAGGAAAACATATAATTGTACCATCCGTGTTTTTCTTCAGGAAAACCACGCTTACTACCTTTAAAAAGCTCCCACTGTGGAGAGTTCAGGTTGGGTTTATTTATTATGGAAGCTTTAGCTGGAAACCTGAACAGGTTTTTGCATGTAACAAGTCGCTGATTCTTCAGTCTGTGGTTAATACAAATTTCTTCTTGCTGGAACCACAGTTGTGTGTGTGAAAACTCATAAGAAACGTCAGAGATGTGTGACTGTGTGAGACTTTACGTCACGTTTTTCGCTGCAAGTGTTATTCTGACTACAGCGAACTATTATTTAAATATTTTTCTTAATGAGGCTGCAGTGGCAGCTCATAGAACACTTGTTTTCCCTGGAAGGCATATTGGCAAACATGAAAAATTAATTCTTTTTTTTTTTTGCCAGAAGTAGTTTAGCATCATTTTAGTCAAATATGATGAGGTTCCTATAAAATTCAGTTTGAAAGCACCTTTGCATTAGAAGCAATATCGTGATCCTAAGTTCCGTGTGATGCCCCACCATAAGCCCTTGGCGGGGGTATCCGACTTCTTTCTCTTCCCTTGTAGATGAGTGTTTTGGGTTTTTGTTAATATTCGCTATGAATACACTTAGACATAGATGGAGTGGCACCTCCGAGGTCTCACTGCTTCCGGAGTGTTTGAGATTTCTCCCTCTCCTTGCTGTCCAAGCCTACTCTGACTTGTGGTTGTGAACTGGCCAACACAGAATCACAGAATGGTTTGGGTTGGAAGGGACCTCAAAGACCATCTAGTT